CCCTACACGACGCTCTTCCGATCTCCCCAAAACCCCAAAACCCCATAAAAGCATATTGAAGTATAATTAAAGGTTTCAATTAATTCATTATAATGAAAATTGAAAACAAGAAATGCCTCTTTCATTTTATTATCTATTGTACTATAAAGCAAGAACATTAATTATGTTTGAAACTGCTCCATTTTAAGATAACTCATTAGTAGTTTCATAATGAAACATCGAGTAATAGTTCCCACATCGCTGGTATGATATGTTAACCAATTTCACAGCTTGGAGTAAATTACAGTCTATCAATCCAATAGACCTAGAGTCTTGATAAATAAGATAAGGCCTCTCATTAGAGAAACCTTAAATCCTTTATAGGAAGCAATAGTTTATACTTTAAGACGGATTAAAAATTCTACTCTTTGTATTATGATTTATATCATAGACAATGAAGTTATTGTTTATTTCTGTTGTAATTATGATATTTTATGTTATCTAAACTATGTTTAGGACTGGTCCCTTTATTTAGTCTAGCAAAGAACAAGGGTTTTCACATTCAGTTAATGTGAAGGATTAGGACACCTCCTCACAAGTTAAGATTACGGTGGAGATACCTCCAAGGAATTTGGAAGTATTATCCAATTAAGCCTGTGCTAAAAGAATATGCTAAGAATCATGAAGCATCTCAGCAGAATGAATGGAAAATTTATTTGAATGCTGAAATGTATACACAATCTCTAGAGTATGCATATCTAATATTTGAATATAGCCTTCCCCCTCAAATATCATAAGATATGAGTGATTTAAGCCCTCAAAATATTAAATGAATTCAATGAATCTGAAAGCATTCTTTGCTAAATGCACAATCATTTTACTTTCATAGTTTACCTTGCACAAGATGTTAAGGCTGCTATCATTCAATCCAAGAATAAGATAGGGATCAATTTAAATATGAGAAACTATCTAAGAGCTCAATTGAAGTACACCATAAATATGAGAGAAATCTTGATTATAAACAAAGCCTCTAGAATTTTCTAATCCAAGTATTTTAAAGTTATCATGAGCATTGTTTAAAATTGTCGTTTATTTAGTATCTGACTACAATTAAACTGTCTTTATTTATTTAAGAGATGCTTATGAACTTATCATAGCTAGCCTTGAATGTTATTAAATGGGAACTAAAAGGTCTCCGGTATTATTACTAATTTTAAGAATTCTATTGCCAGGGAAATTTCTCTAAATCTATTATTAATTTCTAGAATTATCCTGATCATCATTTTATAATTCTGAATTAAAACCATTTTTCATTTTTTTAAGTCTATAGGGGAAACAGTTAAGCTCATAAAAGTTGAAATTTGGTTTTAAATACTCTTAAGGTTAGAAAAAAATAGACTTTTTATTGTCTAGTTCTTGAATTCTCTTTAAATCTTTTATCAAAAGAGATAACTCTTATTGTTAGTTTTTAAGACTTTCATTTCTAATCTTGGAAATTCTGATTTATTTCTTTTAACATTTTTTCCCCGATAGTCTATTAGATTATAATTTGTGACGAGCAGAGTTAGCTATATTTTCAGAATTTTCCTAATTATTACTTTCTAATTCATTATTATGAATCGGGAATTAAGCATTGCTGAAATTTGCATTTTAATTCTTAAAAATTTAGAACTCAAGGAGTTTAATAGTTTCACTGAAATCCAGGTTCATTATGAAATACTCAAGTTAGGTTTGAAATATTAATAATAATTCGATATTTTTTACCTCTAATTTAGATTTACCGATCATTAAGGGGTTTTGGGGTTTTGGGG